CTTTACAGAGTACTTGTTCACTAAACAATTTTAAAGTAACTACCTAAAAAACTTAGTGGGAAATTCTTAATAAACAATGTAATATCCCTCTTGGAAGTAATGGAATATTCCTCTTTGAAAGGAGTAACAGGTGGTTTATAAAACTTCCTAGAGCAGCACCACAAACCGTGTAATCACCACTCTGTAATTTCATTTTTCAGTAGTTGTGAATGTTTTTAAGTAAATGAATGAGTAAAATCCCTCATAGCACCTGGTATGTAATTACCTTCAAAAGAGGAGTTTGATTTTAAATGCTGCTTTGGTTTTGTGCTGCAAACATTCTTACTTTTATTCTCATTTTATGTTAAGCCATCTGTTTGAAGTTAGTAAAAAAGTGGTGATGGAAATAGCTTTCATTTTTTTTCTAAAATTAATATGGCTTATTTTGCTTGCCATAAAGTAACAGGACAGACTAGTTGCATGGTGAGCTATGGTTTAACTCCTGTTAATAGCATTTTCCTAGTAAGCATCACTTTAAATGCTGTATTCCTTCCTGTATGACTGTTTTTGTTTAGTATTACTTAGGTGGATAAAGACAGAAAACAAATCCTAATTCATGTGATTATTAAAATGGATTGTGGTGGTATATGTATGCTACAGAAAGCAGATTGATCTAAAGAGAGAATGCCATTTCACTAGAAATTCCTGAAATGCCACTTCAGGGTGTTACTTGAGCACGTTTTGACATGGCTGTCAAAGCACTATTTATGTCATGCCATGGCTCAAGTTTCACATCAGTTATTGATTCAAAAGTGAAGGATTGCATCCTGCCTGTGTCATGAAGGAGAAAAACAAACTCTTCTCTTGGTGTAGCTGGGATGAGGTAATTGGCTGCAAGAAACTTGATAGTAGCTGCAGTCATCTCCTCTGGTTTTGTGGTCAAGCCTGTTAAAATCCACTGACCTCTGTAACTGATGAGATTCACTGTTCAGGTATCAGCTCAAACACCTCTTGGTGTCTTACGGAATTCTTTCAGTCTCCCATGAAGTGTTGTTGCACAAAACTGCCTCTCATTAAGAAACAAGAAAGCAGAATTGGATGTGAGGGGAGATCTCCTGTGAGACACCTCCTCACTCCTCTCTGAGACAGCGTTGCTGCTGGGGCTGTGAGGATCCAGGCTCAGCTGCTCTCAGGATTCCAGTGAAGTGTTGTGTGAACAAGGGACAGGAAGTTTTGGCCTTTGGGTGAAATTTTTGGTATGATCCTGTTTGAAAGCAGCCTGCTTGCCTGGCTGTTTATAGGATGGATGGGATCATGTGAAACAAGATGCACTTTGGTAACAATGGTAGCATTTGTGCTGGGGTGAAGGAAGACTTTTTGTTCAATTCAGTAACACCAGGGCCCTCTTGGCATGGCAGTTCTGATACTCAGATGAGTTGGGACCCTTACATTCTCAGTGTAGGGCTGGGAACTGTCTCTAATCTGTGCAGGCTCTGGGCTGTAGTGAGGTTTCAAAGTCATCTTAGAGCATAATGAAATTGGCTTTTTTGGTGGGTTTTCTTTATCAGTGAGAAAATCTTTTATTTCAGTAGCATCTCAAACTTACCCCTCAGCATTACTCCTTTTGTGCAGAACAGTAACCTTATTCTTTTTGAGAAGTGTAGCAGCACAAGAACTGCATCCCATTCCACTCCACAGCCAACTCTTCCCTCAGTAACAGGAAGAAACAAAGGCTTAGTATAACACAGCAGCTTAGTTTATTTGGAAACATGTTTAACTTGGAAGAGATTCAGTAGGTCTAGGGGAAGGTGCAAGAGAACCATTTGCTGGTGGAATTGGTGATTTGTACAAATAGCACTTCAGCACTTTTGTTTTTCTCAGTAGACCAAGATCCTTTCCTGAACACAGTCATGTTTACCAGAGTGTGTCAAATCCACCTTACACATTCTTGCACACACTATTCCTTTTCCAATGCCTTGCCTTCTTTCTGAAGTGATAAATAGCCAGGATTTCCAGAAGAGATACCGGGTGCTTCCATCAATGTCCCTCTCTGCTGACAATGACTGATAGCTGAAAATCAACTCTGAAATGATGCCAGTTACTCCATATAGTCACCTAAAGATACTTGTCTGATACTCTGCTGATTTTATATATGGGGATTGTATCATGTGTTGTGCTCACAGGATCACTGCAGTTAAAAAGCCCCTATTTGTTCCTGGGATATTCAGTGATTTTGTCTGGCTTTTAAAAATAAGGGTCAAGATTTTTACACTTAATTCCTTCCTAAGTTTAGTTTGTTTAATTGCAGCCATTAACTTTGACATCAGCCATAAGGGCTCTGCTGTGTTCTAGGCAGGCAACACTAAACCAGTGTTGAACACAGTTGAGAATCTGACCTTACAGTCTAAATTAAACTCCAGGACTTTATTGCTAAGCAGCATCACTGACCCACTTCAGAAGGAACCAATTGTGCACTGCAGGCAAGCTCTTCAAACCCACCCAAATAAACACAGAAATTTGCTAATTAAAAACAAAAACTGGCATACAGAAAACCTTCCAGCTGAGGCAAGCTAGAACTTCTGAAAACGAAGTTCACTCTCATTAACACTGCTGGAGTTCAGGTCCCTTTGGGGCACTGGCTGCCAGTGCTTAACTGCAAGAATATTGCACATTCCGACTTGCTGTTTTTCTTCCTGGTTTTAATTAAAGGAGATTGCTCTGTAGCCTGGTCATGAATGTTGCTTCCCAGGATTGTTTAACTGTTTCTTGCTAATGAAATTTGTTCATGGAAACCTACACTGCACTCACTTCACTTTATTGCCAGGTGGATTTTGTGCAGCCTGTAGGGATCACCCCTCTCATCAGCACAGCCTGGGTTAAACACTCGTGTGCAGAAGTCACCTCAGGAATTAAACATGCAAAGTCCTTCTGGAACCTTTATTAGTGGCATTCACAGCTGGTGCTCCTAAGGTTTAAAGTTTGGTGCTTCTCTACAGCTTCTTCCCTGACTCCCATTTGCCTTCATTAATGACACTGAATATTTGCCTCTTGCCTTAGATTCTGGCAATTCCTGATGTCTTAACTGGGTACCAGCAAGAGCCTGTGGAATTTTACAGGAGCCAATGGGTGTTTCTTTCCCTCCAGTGTGTATTTTCTCCCCTAAAAGCAGTTTTCCCCATAACTGTAAATGTACACAGGTGCCCTGCAGAGTGACCCACACCAGGTACAGATTGTGACAGCTACAGAGCTCAGTGTGGTGTTTGTTGTGTGTCTCAACAAGGATACAATAATCATACATGAGAGTCAGCCTTTGTTCTCTTTCCTGCATCTTTGGTCAAAGTGATTAAAGTGCTTCATGTCTCAGTGGAAACCTTTTGTGTTTTTTCCTCTTTGATCCGTAAAACTTAAGGTACTTAGTGACGTCAGTTCTTTTTCTCAAGTGAGTCTGCAATACTGAAATTATTCTGGAAATGAAAGTGTTTTTCATCAAATCAGTCAGTGCTAGGGATTAGGTTTTATTTGTATGAGGATAGTCTGAGTTACTTTAGATGGTGTCTATTGCCTTCAACATTAATAAGATACTTTTTCTGTCTAAAAAAATAACTGTTTATCCTTTTGGGGTAACTGCTGTTAATTTTTTCTCCTTTCCTATACTGTTGTTCCTTGGTATATAAGCACACACTTCACTTAGCTGGCTTCACAAAATGGAAGTTCCTCTTGCAAAACGTTATTTTAGGAACTTTTTGCTATCTTTTGTTATTTCTAAGCCTGAGATTGTCACACTAGATCCATGTACGTTTATTTTACTATTTACACCTATCACAGTACATTTATATGGAATACCATCACACAGACAAACCAGCTACTGACAGCTAATATAAAGATATTAGATTCCACAAGCTTAATCTGCATAGAGACCAGAAACACACTTAATGGTGAAAAACAGACAAGTATTTCTGCATTTCCCTTAATTTTAAACCCATTTTATACAGAATGTGATTTTCCTGCCACAAATACCTACTTCTGTATTTGTATATTTGTCTCGTGGCCAATTTGTCTTGGGTGCCTTGTGTCTTCCTATGCTTTTTTATGGATAGTTTATATTTCTTGTGGTCACAAAATATACAATTAATACTTGTTTTAAGCATGGTTTCAATATCAGTTAAATTTTGCCTTGTGTTCTTCTCCCAGCAACCTCTCAGTGATGTGTAATCTCCTGCTGCATGTAGCTTGTAAAAATGGACAAAACCCTGGGTGAATATTTCTCTTACTTCACGGGAGCTGGAGATCTAAAACAGAAGTGACACAACCTTGGACTGCATCATCAACTTGCAGATTACTGTAGCTGTGCTTTGCTAAAGCTTTGCCAGGGATTTATTTCCCCTGGTGCAAGCAATATTAATTTGACTTGAGTAACTCGGATATCATGTGGGATATAAAAATCTGTAGCTACTTGCAGCATCCTTGTCACTGTTCTCATTCTTTAGGAAGAATTTGAAATGAAACTCCACAGCAAAGTAGTTGAACATCACACAAGTTTGGTATTTTGTATGCAACATCAGTTACCCTACAGTTGCTTCCTCTGTCAGTTGTGCTATATATAGCATTGCTACTTGTGGCTTTTGTTCTGAAAAGTAGCCAAAATTGGAGAATTTGGCGATGTTTGAGTGCAGTTTGTCACGGGGGGGAAAGTGTACAACACATTCTTCTGAAGTTATAACCTATTAAAATTGCTGGTTTACACCATACTGGATTAAATATAGCCCCTTTTCATTCACCTGTATCACGGGGGTGCTTTTTGTTGACTCTACTGCTGATCTCCTCTGGTCCCTGGACAGCCACTAAATAGATTTCTTTTGTTTTTAGGCATGCGTGTAGAGTGATCCATGCAACAGTGAAGAACCTGCCATTGTCCAGTCCATAGATTACACTTGTGCAGCTGCTCTTGCCTCCCTCAGCAGGATGCTGCTGGTTCCCCTCACCATCCAGTTCCACTCAATGGAAACACTGAAAAGACAAGCAGGGTGGGAAGCCCAGGGCTCTCTCTACATGATGTTGCACTGTGTGGCCCCACAACAATCTTTAATAATTGCCAATCCTGCCTTGGCAATGGTGGGCTTGCTTGGAGGAGGTTCTGCCTTCTTTTCTGCTGGGCTGCCTGCAATGTTCAAAACAGGACACCATTAGAACCAAGAGCTGCTCAAACTCTTCCTTCCTACTTCTGCCTTAAAGGGTGCAAACCTTTCCTGCCCTCTCTCCACCCACCCTGAATTTTTTAGCTCCTGTTTGAACAATACATTTTGGTGGTGACAGAGCTGATACCTGGTTTGAACTCAGAAAGTCTTATCTCTTCAGGGAAGGGTGTTAAGAGGAGCTAAAGAATCCATACATCTCAAAGGGAGGGGAAACTTGCATCTGGTTCAAGGCAGGTGTCCCTTTTCACAGCCATGGGTCCTTTCACAAAGTAATTTCACTGTTTAGCTCCCAACAAGGAAAGGAGCTGAAGAACAAAAGTATTGCTAGAATTTATTCTCTCATTGGCTTGGATGTTGTAATTAAGGGAACAAGATAAAGGTAGGTTTTCATTTTTCAGGGTGAAAAGAATATTTTTATCTTTAAAACTGCATTTAAAAGCAATGAGAAAGTAAACAAACAAGAAAGATGAGTCATGCTCCCTGTGACTAAGGGGGTATAAATAATTAGTGATGCATCTTAAAATGTCTCTTCTCAACCTTGAACTTCAAGGTCATTCCAGTCCCTCTGGGAACTCTTGAGCAAGATCTTGATCTGTGCCAAAGGGCAGAATGTTTGGTACAAACCTCTTCAGCTGGTGGACCTCTCTAAGAAGGGCACTGCTCTCACTTGGCTCTGCCTGAGAGCTCATTCTGAGACAGGGCAAAATCAATCTGTGAACTTCTAGAGCTCCTGCTGTGGCTGTGACTGTTCTGTTTGAAAGTTGCAGCTAAAAGCTTCTGAGGCATCATGGAATCCAATTTGTCTCTCAGAAACCAGTGTGGTTCCATTCTGCCTACAAATGATTTGGGTTGGGGTGGTTCAAAAGCCTATTTCTGATGGTAATATGTAAGAAATGTGGGTCAGCTGTGGAAGTTTGCAGTTTTTTCCTCTAGTTTCCATCTTGACTGCAGTAAAACAGGTGAACTTTGTTTCAGGTATTCCAGCATGGACCTGAAGAGGTTTTTCTCCATTATTTTTGTAGAAACAGATAGGAAAATTATTAATAGAAATCTAACGGCTTAGAAATGCAGCTTGTGGCACTGTGTATACAAATATACTTTGCATATTTAAAACATACAGAGCAGTTCTGAAGTGACCATAGGTGACAGAAATTCAGTTTTATGACAGAAATTCTGTTTTTAGGGGTAATTTGGTATCTGAAGTCCAAGTGGCCAGCAGTTGCTGACACCCTGAGTTGTTTCTAGGTGATCTAGTTGTTTCTTGCTAGCTTCACCTAGCTTTTGCCAGAGGCTGCCCTGTGAAATGCTCTTATAATCAGTTGTCTTTGGAGTTTTTCCTTGTTTTTTTCTTAATGATTAGGAACTCACTGGTAGGAGACTGTGTTGCTTTGTCGATGGGTTTTAACTTGGTGCGAAGGAACTCAGCCATCTCTCTGTCTTCTTCTTTTTCCCTGGTGGAAGGAAGGAAAATAGATGTTAGAGGAATGACAGTTTTCTCTGTAAATGGGACAGCAAAAGTGGTGTAGCTAGGATCAAGTCACTAGTAAACAATTAATTTCTTTGCTATTTTCAGAAACATTTAATTTTGCCACTTATTAAAAAGCAAAATATTTGCCTAAATGAAAGCTGCTGCTGAGGCTTTTGTGATTTGCTCAGGGGGCTCAGTGAGAGCTCTGGGTTCAGTTCTAGCTCAGGCTCCTTGTCAGATGCTGCCTCTGCCCAGCTCTCTTTGATCAGCTGCAGGACTGGCAAAAGCTTTGCCAAATCCTCTCCCTGCTTGCCCAGAATTTCAATGTGTTGGAGGAGATATTGTCATTTTGGATAAATGGATTGGGTCTTTACTACTGAAAGAGGGGGAAGTAAGAGCAAAACTGACTCTGTAGAGTGTTGGTCTCAAACAGAAGATTGGAGTTGCGTGCTGGAAGTGAACTCTGGAGGAAGCCTACAACTTTCTTGGCAACTTTGGGCTAAGCCATGGAGATGAAACCCTTCAGAACCTGCCCATGGCTCAGGGTCAGGTCACCAGCTAAAAGCTGACTGCTTTTTAGCTGGTTTGGGGTTTTTTGTTGTTGTTTGGGTTGTTTTGCTGTGACAAGATGGGAATCAACCTGACAACATGAATAATTTCAAAAGGAAGATTTTAGATGTCTACAAATATGCCCCTTGTAGAATTCCATTTCATGTCTACTTTTTATCCCAAGAGAATTCCCTGGTAGCAGCATAAATCCTTTTATTTTAAATGGTAAATGCCCAGACTGTTTCTGGTAGGAAGACCAAAGCTCACTGATATTCATGAGACGACTGAATCATTAATGGGATAAAGAGCCACAGAATTAGAGCAATCTAATTTTAATGGTTTTCCTATAGAAAGGAGAGGAGGCTTTTAACTTAGTAAGTTGTTTTGAAGGACCAATTCTCTCCCATTAATGTTGATTTAAATTTTGTCACTTAATCTATTGTATTATTAGGCTTGTGGAATGCCACTAAATAAGTTCAGTTGCTCTTGGCTCTCACCGTAATCTCTCCACCTCTGCATCATCTACAAGAAAATCTCTTTTTTGTACCAGTCGATGAATCTTCTGAATCAGTTCATCTTCTCTTTGCTTCTCCATCTTTGTTTTTTCTTTTTCTGGTCAAAAAGAGAGAAAAGACTGTGTTACTTTGGGCTCTGGGGAGGTGAGGGGGTGGTGTAGGACGTTGCAGCTGTCTGAGAATCAGCTGCTGATTGAAGTCAATGGTTTTCCAGGCTGAGTCACCAAAACCCCAGCAAGCTGGGTCACTGCCTCTTTGCTCTCCTCACTTGCTGCTGTTGACTCTGATCAGCTTTTAATGGTCTGAAGGCTCTGTGGGCTTTGCTAAGCTTGCTTTCAATACTCTATGACTCTGCAAGACATTGCTTGGAATTTTTTTTTCAGAGCTTTGGCAAGAAAATAGTTCCAGATGCTTTGTTAAAATCCAATGTACAAACTCCATTTGACCTCAGGGGAAAGGAGATCACACCAAAAGGAACTATTTCTGTGTGTTTCAAGACAGCTTTGGCTGTTGAAAACAGCACTGTTTTTTCTGCTCTGACAAGGCAGGTGAGCTGCAAATCCCCACCATAGCAGCAATTGTAAAACATGGAAAAATAAATGCAAGTTTATTTTCCTTTTTTTCTGCTCTGACAAGGCAGGTGAGCTGCAAATCCCCACCAACAGCAGCAATTGTAAAACACGGAAAAATAAATGCAAGTTTATTTTCCCCGTACTTCAAAAATCTGAGTAATTCATATATGTCCTTGTTAATTGGCCAGTCTGGAATGGCTAGGTTGTCTGTAAACAACAATTTTTGTGGCATGAAAGATGTGTCTGTCACAAACTAAAAGTCATAAATGTTAGAGATTACAGAACTGTCCTTTCAGGCTATAAAGCAAATGTATTTAAGAAAGAACTCTTCAAATCTTGCAAGTGCAGCAGAGACGAGAAAGCCAGAGGCAAATCCAAGCTCATGTATTTCTCTGAGAAGCTGAAAATTTTGAGCAGCTCTGAAGATACTTTGTATTAAATCAAGATTTTGTGCTTTGGGCAGCAGGACCTGCACAACTCAGAACAGTGAGAGATGGGGGAGGGAGAGTGAGCTGCAGTCTGGTGCATCTGAGCTGTGTTATGTCTGCTGATTTAAGTTATAAGACACTTTAAATAGCTAAATTAATCAGACACTTGAAAACAATTGGTTTTAGTACAGATTTTAAAAAGAGAACACTTAGAGGTGACTGCTTTTTCCTGCTTTGTCTATTGTGGCTAAAGAGCAGGGACTCTCCTCACTTCTGAAGATAGAAGCTACTTTCTACTTCCTTTCATTCTATCCTTTTCCTAAATTGAGATGTGCTCCCCCATTATATCCTTCAGGAAACTGTCAACTAAAAATATATGTGGCAAACTACTACATATTCTGTGTACTAAAAGACTGATTCCACATCTACTGAAATTGGCTAAACTGTGTCTACTGAAACCAAAGAGCAGCTCTCTATACAAATCTGTGTTCTTACAGGAAAATGGTGGTGGAGATCCATGAATGAATCCATTTCTGGAAAGTGTTTCTCTAGGTCAGGCACATGCTGTGTCAGCACTTAGTGCCAGCTCTTGTGACCCTGCCTGGAGCTGCTGCTGCTGGAACTGCCCCTCTTGGATTCTGAAGTTGCTGAGATTTGTGAAGTTCCAAGGAGAAACTGCTGTCTGTGGGTCTCTGCTTGAGGCCTTGAGACTGGAAAATCACTTCTAAAAGATAAAAAAAAAACCCAAACAGCAGAAACACCAAAAGAATGAAAGCTGATTAACCCTATCTGTTAGTTCACAGGACAGGAAAGCTTGCAGATCAGAAAAGTGAGGCAAGGGGCATCAATCACAGATACTTTCAGGGATCTGTAATCCTTTCCATTTGAACGAATAATGAACCAAGAGTGTTATTATTAAAAATACAAAATGTGACCTCTATAAGAAGCATAAGGAAAGAAAAAGTAAGAAATATTATTAATCTCTTTCTGTTAGGTGCAAAATGTGGCAAAGTTCTTCGACAGCTAAAAGTGGGTGGTTTCAGGGTAGATCTCTTTCCTATGTCACAAATGCCCTTCTCTCTCCTTTCTGAGGACAAAGTTGTCCTTCAAAGTTGCACAATAAAATGTGAGGAGGAAAAATGATGATAACCAAAGGATAGTCAAAACTTGGACTTAATAGTAAAGCAGGAGCAGTTAAGCAAATTATTTCTGCAGGGTGCTGGAGGCTGTGCAGGAATGTGTGGTGTGAATGGCCTGCTGCAGCTGCTGTTTTGCAGGATCTGTATCTTTTTTCCTTGAACAGAGTAGGGCTGTTGTGGATCATCTAAAATGGCAAGGCTGTAGGAAAGTGGAATTCCTCACTGATGGCAGCTGGAATTCTGAGCCAAGGACTGCAGAGCTGCCCACAGCTCTGTCCCTCCTTCAAACACTGAATTTGCTGAGATTTATGGCAAAACATAAAACAGAGTTTTGGGCCTTGCTTTTTGTAGAAATCTGTTCTTCTTGATCCTAGAAGGTAGATTTAACTACAGGTGTGATAATGGATTGGTGTAGCAAGGAAAAAATCAATCACATTCACAGTGATGGTTATAAATCCTCTCCCTCTTTTATCTCTGGTATCTCAGCACTTGTCTTTTCTACTGACAATCTCTGTGCCACTTGGTTCCCTTGAGATTGCCAAGGGAGTGCAAGAAATAAGGAATGTGCTCCTTGTTTGAGTGATATTTGCAGGGTTGCTGCCATGGGAGCAGTGAAATACAGCATGAAAAGAAATTTTGAGACGGAGATCAGAGATGGGCAGGAAAATGGGAATTAAAAATGAGGAGCAGAGGAAAGAGATATGAAACTCCACCTTGGGGGGAGGAGATTCTGATTGTTGGGTGGGTGATGCATGGGTGGGGATGGTGTCAGCACAGGTGTTATCCTAATACTGGGTGGAGACAGCCATTACCTGGGATTGCTACCAAACTCTGCAGCTCCTGCTTAAGGTTCATAATGTCTTTGCACAGCTGGATGTCATCCATCCTGCAGAAACAGAAAAAGCACGGTCAGACATGCAAACCCCACTCGGTTGATGGATTGGCCAGGTCTCAGCTGAGTGCATGGCCCTGGCCTTGCCTGGGACCTGTCAGCCTGAAAGGGGATCCTGACACTCTTAGCTCAGCAAGTTTAACAGAAGGCAAAGAGTATTTAATCCTAAATGCCCATTGAGCCCTTGGTTACTTGTCTTACTGGCTCTAATTTGTGTGTAGGTTCATACCTGTCACTGTGGATAATTTCAGATTTTACTTTCTTGAACATCAGAGGACTTTCTGGAGTGGACACCTGTCTCCATAATGGTCCTGGGAAAAGACAGGTGAGCCACACTGCACTTAGTGCAGCCAGAGTTTTCACCAGGGAGAGAGCAAGAGCAGCAGAGAGCCTGGCAAGGGGCGGCAGAGGGTGACAGATTATTTGGCACAGCCAGGGCAAGGTTTATATTCTGCCACCAGCTTTCTTTGTGACCCTACTCATAATTCACCTCTAACACCAGAGATCTGGAAACTGACATAATTTGGTATTTATCTGTTTCTGATGTTTTTTGTCTTGGGTGAATATCCTCCATGATTGATGTTAAATGCTTCAAATCCTTGATATGTGCAGAAAGTCCATTAATGGTAAGACACAGAAGACAGTTTAAATAAAGAAAACTAACTTTAGCAGAAACTGCACCTTCAGTTCTCCTTGAAACTGCTGCTTCTCCTGAGAGCTGCCACTGAATCACTCCCCGGGAAGGCAGCAGCCTCCAGCATTACCTTCCTGGCACAGTTTCCTCCAGTGCCTCGGCCACAGCGGCAGCCAAGGCTCGGCTGCTGGCTCCAAGGGCAGCATCTGGGGCTTTCATTTTGAGATCACCCCCTGAAGAGCACAAAACCCAGCCTGTGTGATTAATTGTACATTCTCAGCTTGGATCTCACCAATGCTCTCCCTGCATGTCGGAGCTCTGTTTTTCACCGTCCTGGGCCTGAGGGGGGGACTGGCTGCTGCCGGAGCACCCGGAGCAGCTCAAGTGCGGCCGGAGCAGGGGCTGTCACCGCGCCATTTCAGCACAGCAAGGCTGAGGGATTGAGTGTGTGAGAGGGAGCCCCCAAAGGACAACGCAGCCAAATTATTGCATTAAGTGAGGAGTGGAAAAAGTAGGTGTTTCTGGCACAAATAATACTTTAATCACAACCCAAGAGCTTTTATTCTCCCCTCCGCCTCTGCCAGCATGCAGGTCTCTGCAGGGGGCTGTCCCTCAGCTGCTTTGCTCTTGTCAGTAAAACATGGTGATCCTTCTGTGGTTTGCTGCTTGGCTTAACTCCGTCTTGCCTGTTCTGCCACTTTCACCGTGCTATGACAGCTATTCCTGCTGCCTTTTTACCCCTCTCCTCCCAAAATACAACCATGAAATACCTCTCCTAATAATCTTTATTGCTGACCTCTTTTCCTTCTTTGTGTACCGCTGTCACTTCCACTGGGATCTGCTCTTTCACTGCCCATCTGCCTTGTAAGCCCTGGTTTTATTGGGAAGATCAGCATGTTTGCCTCAGGACTAGAGCATGGCCCTTTGCTCTGTGTGTTTAGCACACTTGGAGGCAGAGATGTTTTTTCCTGATGAATATTCTGACTTAGGCTCTCCATATTATTCACTCTCCTCACAAGCAAAGCCTGCTTTACTCTTGAGATCCATCACACTAAGTGGCACTGGAATTACTTTTATCAATTAACCTTAAATGCTGTCCTCCCAGGAGAGTATTCAAAACGTGCTGGGATGTGAGCAAGGCTCACAGCTCCTTATCCATTCCGTGTTCATGCACTTTGGGTGTCATGTTGGTACATTTGACTGAGATGACCATGCCTGACAAAGATGACAGTTTCTTGGCAAGAACTGTTCAATATTGAACTGCTGTATTCAAGTGATATCAGGCCACGCTCTCAACTGGTAAAGAGAACAGTGAGTTTCTACAAAAGAGATATCTGTGATAGACAGAGAGGATTTTTTTTTCTGATTCAGAAGATTTGGCTTCATTCTGAGAAGCTCTGAAATACACTAATTAAAATACTTCACTATATCAGTTTGGCTCCCTGCCCTCACTGAGGAACTCCAAGAAGCTAATGGCACTGCTCTTCTCTGAGGATTTTCAGGAATTTAAAATACCATCAGCAGTATATTCCAAGTGAGCAAGATCATTCCTGTTCAGTAGTCCCTACAGTCCTTGTGCCTAACTTGTGGCAAAGGTACTGACCACATGGTGCAACTTCAGTTGCACTTTCTCCCCATTATCTTGGCTGGTTTTCAGTCTGACTACAGAGCATGTAGCTGGTATTCCATGTATATTTTTAGCATCTCTTTTTCCTGAGAACTAAACTTTGTTCCTGCCTTGTAAAACACAGCAGAGAAGTAAATCCGTGGCCAAAGCGCTTTAGGTCTGTAACAGCTCTGTGACCACATGAATTCCAAAAATCATAAGTCAGATGACCTCTCCAGAGTCCCAGTTCTGCAGGTTGGTGCATTGTGCTGATGGACAAAAACTGAACCTACCATCTGCACCAATCCCCTTAAGCACATGGAACATCTTTCCTCCCATCTGTGCCAAACAGCCTTTGTGTTTCATCCACTCCACAGTGCTGATTAGGAAAAAAGTAATAAAAAAAGAGGTTAAATGATGAAAGGGAGGGCTGAAGGACATATGGGACCATGCCAAAGCTTCATCTATCTGACTTAGTGAAAGCAGGATCTATGGTTCCTGGTAACTATAAAGCACATCCCACATCTGCTGGCAAATAATACTGAATGCAGGGCAACAGGAGCTGCCCTGGGCAAGAGTTGCCTTGCTGCCCTTGAAGGAAAGGGAAGAAGAGGAACTCCTGGAAAGGAAATCTCTTGGAAGGCCATTCAATCTGTACTGGCATTATGAATGTTCCCTTCTTTTCCCCCTTATGCTCTGGATGTTATATGTGAGTAGTTACAGGAGTCCTAGAAGAAGTTAATGCTGCTTCTGAAAAAAAAAAAAAATCCCAGTGTATTTCTCATTTGGAAGCTGGATGGTCAGCAGGGCTTGACTGAGAGCATCTTGGTATTACTGTCAGACCTCTTTAGGAAGTAAAAAGTGCTTCTGGAAATCTTAAGGAAAGCAGCAATCTGCAGAGTACAGGAAAAAAAATTCCTTTGGGTCCCCTAACATACACAGGTTCTTTCTCTTCTCTGGAAGAGTTGGTACATTCTTTCCAGTCCTGTGAAAACATTTTCCACATTGTAGAAAAAACACCAGTGAAGCAAACAGCAGTTACAACATGGCAGTTTTTCCTCCAGAGCTGAGCTTTAAATGTCTGCCCAGGTACCCTAAACACATGAGTTATGAGTATGACAAAACATTTCTCTGGTTAGGAGCCCAAATCCATTCCTGGAGTAATTGCAATAGGATTGAAGTGGGGATGGATCCTCAGTGTGCTTTTGTGCATTCCTGACACGCTGGCTGCACTTCTGCTTTTCTTTCTTGCTGGCTTATTGCAGAACCCCCTCTGCAAGCTTGGAGATATCACACAAGCACACATTAGTATTTTCTCTCATGGTATTTCAAGCTATATCATCACAACCTACAAGAAACAACAGAAAGAAACAACAAAAAACCAAACCTCATCATGACTAAACAGTGGGAGCAGAAGATTTTCTAAACATGGCACAAAATGACAGGAAAATAAGTGGGTCAGGGAGCCTGCAGTGCCCTGGCACAGTGACTCAGCCCCATTCTGTGTTCCTGTGGTCCAGCTACCAGGGGAGAGTGCCCTGAGCACTGTCATTGCCATGCCATGCTCCAGTGAGGTGACAGCATGAGTCACCTCTGCTGTCACCATCTGCACCGAGGGGAGCAGGGCAGGCAGAGCCCTCCCATTCAGAGGCTCTGCAAGAAAATGGGAGGCAGGGCTTTTAAACAAGAGACATTCTGTAGCAGACACAAAGGAATTGTTTTGTTTTGTTTCAGTAGAAATTATTCTTCAACAGCTGAATTTTTCTATCTTCTTCTCAGCCAAGGAAGAAATCTGAATTTCCCAGTGTAAGACCTAGGCCCATTCAGAGGCTCTGCAAGAAAATGGGAGGCAGGGCTTTTAAACAAGAGACATTCTGTAGCAGACACAAAAGAATTGTTTTGTTTTGTTTCAGTAGAAATTATTCTTCAACAGCTGAATTTTTCTATCTTCTTCTCAGCCAAGGAAGATTTGAATTTCTGAATTTCCCAGTGTAAGACCTAGATGCCATCTAGAGACATGCATAGGAAAAAAGGAAAAATTCCAGTGGAAGCTCACAGAAAAATCACTTAACACCCCCCTTAATGGTCAACCCAAAAAAAAAGAGATGGCCAACAAGACTGACAAATGCTTCATATTTGAGTGTAAGAACTATTAGTAATACCAACATAAGCATCAAATATAATTTTCATTGATTTCAGGATGAGCAGAGCAGTTCCGTGGGTCCAGAGAGCTTCTGCCTTTGCTGAATGATTTCAAAGCTAGAAATAGATCTGTGCTCCCTTTAGCACGTCTATAAGAGGAGGTCTGAGATTTCTTGTTTTCTGTTATTGGATTAAAGTGCTTGAAGTTAAAAAAGGAAAGTAGACCAGGTTTGCTGGTTTCCTCCCCTCTCTTCCAGGAGGGTTTGCAGGCACTTGGATTATTTTTAGTTCTATTTTAATACATTCCTGCCCCAGGAGTAAAATGCTTGTAATTGTTGGAGTTTCTGAAGGCTTTGGTAGTGCCAGTCTAGGAGCTGGCCTGAGAATCAGGTGTCATGCTAAGTCACAAGCTGACACCATTTGTAACTGAGGTCTCCATGTAAAGATGGAAAGATCACCTCCTTGGTGGTGTCTCCAGTGAGCAGCCTGAATCCAACCAGTAGTGGTGGAGAGATCTGGGGGATTGAAGGAAAGAGAGGTGTAGAAATAGAGAGAATTGCTACAGAGATGGGGATGATGTCAAGCTGCAGACTCGAGGGACTTCAGTGGAGG